AACAGTGCTTTTATAGCATTACACAAGTGGGATTAAACACTAGCAGGTAAGACGATAATAAAAGGTGACTCTCTACATGTTAACCGCTTATATCCAAGGATTAGTTGACATAGATTACATATTTAATACAATAGTAAAATTAAACATGTATTGGAATTGAATTTGACATTGAAAAACGGTCTGAGACATGTGAAGTGCACAACGTATTTGAAAGTTGTCGTGGGTTTTGCGGAGCTCGAAATTACATATTTATCATTCTGCTTCCATACAGAAAGTGGGCTATTCTTTGAACATATCGAGTAACAATCCACATTTCAAAGAACATCCTGCACCACAGAGTTAGATAAAAGTACCTATTATATCTTCCAGAAACGTTTGCAAGATCAAATATTTTAAAATTACAACAGCGGATCGTTTGCAAAGGACGGTGGAGCGGATTACATTAGGTGAATGCGTCATATTGTTCAGTTTGTGTTGTATCTAAAAGCGTAAATATTACAATATACAAAAAGGGATGATTCCTAAAATATAAAGAACTCTGAATTCTTAAAGTCTTCTAAGGGCAAGAAACTTAATCCTGTCTCATCAAAGGAAAATAATACATATAGAAAATTCATGATGACATCAGGATGAACAAATCAAGGAATATGAGATGAATAATTCATGTAGCACTCTTGTCTGGGACAAGAACTGCATAAACAATTTCAGTCGGAGACAACTGAAGGGCGGAGACCTCTTGGGAGACCTGTACTTAGATGGGAGATAAATATTAAAATTGACCTTAAATATTTATGTTTAAGAATGTAGAATAGAATCATATGGCATGATGTAGACAGTGTCTACTACAACAAACCATCCAAGGAACGTTGTTTTGCGTATATAATGTCTCGTCTAATTTGCCTTTGAAATTTCAATAGGTATTTTATAAACGTCAAACAAATAATACATACTAACATGGACAGACATGTTTCAAATGTCTTTTTTATTTACGGACATTCTATGTGTAAAAGTCCGTACGCTAGGTTCTTCTACAACATAGGTCTAAATGGGCTGTTTCCCTTGTGGAATTTCTAAAGCTTAAATGCTATTTAGTGGTATTCTGAGTTGCATTCATTTGACGGTTGTTAGGCTGTCCCATTCCAAACTGCAGTAGAACTATCATATACGTCACTATTGTAGACGAATACTGCAAGAAAGCAGTGAGACATTCAATAAGAAATTAGGACTAGGATAAATTGATCAAATAACCACAATAGAAAATGATCTGGATGTTTAAAATAGTGTTTTTATAGTTGTCTTTTACGAATTATGTGCACCTGTGATTGTCTCCTTTTGACCAGCGTATCATCCATTGTTCAATATATGTAACATTTTTATCAATTATTCAGTTTCTTTATATGATCAACTATGTGTTTCAGTCTGTAAGCTAACAGTGCTTTTATAGCATTACACAAGTGGGATTAAACACTAGCAGGTAAGACGATAATAAAAGGTGACTCTCTACATGTTAACCGCTTATATCCAAGGATTAGTTGACATAGATTACATATTTAATACAATAGTAAAATTAAACATGTATTGGAATTGAATTTGACATTGAAAAACGGTCTGAGACATGTGAAGTGCACAACGTATTTGAAAGTTGTCGTGGGTTTTGCGGAGCTCGAAATTACATATTTATCATTCTGCTTCCATACAGAAAGTGGGCTATTCTTTGAACATATCGAGTAACAATCCACATTTCAAAGAACATCCTGCACCACAGAGTTAGATAAAAGTACCTATTATATCTTCCAGAAACGTTTGCAAGATCAAATATTTTAAAATTACAACAGCGGATCGTTTGCAAAGGACGGTGGAGAGGATTACATTAGGTGAATGCGTCATATTGTTCAGTTTGTGTTGTATCTAAAAGCGTAAATATTACAATATACAAAAAGGGATGATTCCTAAAATATAAAGAACTCTGAATTCTTAAAGTCTTCTAAGGGCAAGAAACTTAATCCTGTCTCATCAAAGGAAAATAATACATATAGAAAATTCATGATGACATCAGGATGAACAAATCAAGGAATATGAGATGAATAATTCATGTAGCACTCTTGTCTGGGACAAGAACTGCATAAACAATTTCAGTCGGAGACAACTGAAGGGCGGAGACCTCTTGGGAGACCTGTACTTAGATGGGAGATAAATATTAAAATTGACCTTAAATATTTATGTTTAAGAATGTAGAATAGAATCATATGGCATGTTAGTGTCGCTGACATGCTGTTTTGAAAATCACACAATTTTGATGATTTGCAAAATCTGATAGTTTCCTCATTTCAGCGACCATCGTTTTTACAAGGACTGTTGCCCGTGATGTTACAAATACGAGGCCCGTATTTTTTTGTTTTATTTACAACAGTGGAGTGTGATATATTAATGGATAAGACCAAAGCAAGACAATTCAAAATGGGTACTGAAGGGCGATCATAACGCAGATGCAGTTTAGTTGATGTGACGGTCTCAAACTTACCGATCTGAGCATTTCCCTGTTTACATCGAAGAATCCAGCCACTGATATCACTGGGGGATGCGATGATATTGTATTCAGGAAAGCGTTCACCTGCAATGAACAACAGTTAAATGCCTCTGAAATGGGGAAAAATATGTAAGGAATAAGGGAGTCGTAAGTTGTGATTAGCTTCGCAGAAAGGCTACTGGAGTATTATGCGTGTTCAAGAAGTTTTGGTATTGAGTTACTTGTATTATAACAAATAACGCATGTGGTAAATGAATATAAACCATTATAGCGCTAAATATGATGAAACCGACGGTTAGAATGCGTAAAATGCAAGCGTCATTTTGAGAGAGAAAGAATTGTGCATGCTTTAGAGCATTGTGGTAACTATATGTACCACTTTTTTTACAGTTAAATAACTCAATATTTTGCCATATACATAGTGAGTCAATAGTATGTTTACTAACTTTGTGTTGCTTGTTCCTGAATTAAAAATAAGAAAAAAATGTTCCTATGAACACGTGATTACAAATGCACATTTTTCAAAATAATAGCCAAAAATAATTTTCAATGTATGCCAAGTATAAGGACAGGGATGTTTATTATTCTCCACCCATGCACGAGCACGTCGTACACAGGACTGACGAATTCGTTCGTACACACCAGGGTTTCGAATCATCTATCTTGCATTTCGCACTCGTACCCATAGGTCGTCTTTATTGTTTACGATGTTACTTAAACGACGGACTTCAAGTGACTCCACAAATAAAAGTCCAATGGAGTCAGGTCCGGTGACCTCGGTGGCCATGATACTGAGCCACCACGCCTAATCCATCGCTGAGGGAACTGTTCATTGAAATGTTCTCTGACGTGACGGGAGAAGTGTGCTGGGGCCCTATCGTGCCTAAACCACATTTGTTTTCTTTTATTTAGTGGTACATCTTAAAGGAGACGTGTCAAGTGACATCTTAAGAATCGCCGATGTGAAGGTCCTCTTACACGTGATGAAAGCATGTATGAACCAATAAGCATGCTGCCAACAATTTCTCCCCAAACGTTTATTGAAAATCTTTACTGGAAGCTAGATTCACTTTGATGTAAAGTAATTCACTGAATTTTAATTTTGGTTATTATTTCGAAAATGAAAGATTTGCGACCCCATGTTCATAGGTATTTTTTTCTCCTATTTTTGATCCTCAAACACGCACACACTGATTGACACTTATTTGTATACAGCGTTCCCACAACAGGGTGTTCATAGCATGGCCGTTACCGCATAAATTGAAGACCCGGTACGTGCTCTCGGGGTAATTATAAGTAGAAAAGTTCAAATAAACATGGGTCCTATCTGCAACGGTTTGCCTAGAAAATGAGAATGGGCACGTTAGGCCTTGCTTGCATTGCGTGTTCGGCCGGTACACTGTTGACGTGGGCGGGACTTGTGCGTGTTCTTCCCATGAGACACCAGAATGGGCACGTTATTAGATTTGTAACTTTTACATTATTTCCATTTAATTTTAGGTCACACTGTATTTATCATTATTATTATTAAGTTCAGACTAACTCTGAATTGCATTTTGAATTACTTACGTTATTTACGTGATTGGAAATAACCACCCTGATTGTAGATGCACAGTTGAGCCCTTCGTGTAATTGAAGTAACAGCCCTCTTTACACAATCATGATCATTTTTGATTCTGACATCGGAGTCAATTATTCGATTGAGCAAATCAGCCCTACTGTCTGACTTGATGTCTAACACCAGTGATTTCATGTGTCTCCGGAGAAAGCAGTGGACTACATCGAACAATCTGAAGGTTTGGAGAATGTTGATTCAGGAATGTAGTCACTTGCCTACCAAACTGAGAAGGTGCTTCATCACGCTACAGTCACGTCTTTTGCCTGGTTAGCAGAGGAACATCTTCCAACCCTAATGGCAGCTCTTCCTGAAGGACACCCAAGTAGCGCTGAGATGTCAAGCGGTCTTCAAGCACTGACTGCACTGAGACTTGCCCACGAGCGCCACGTGCGCAGCTTTGTGAACTAATTTCTCAAACTCAGTCAATGCATAGTGAGTGCTGAGCATTTTCTTGACAAACCGTTGGAGATCGGATTTTTGAACTTTCAGAATCAAACTGATCCCAAGAACACGTAGTTAAGCTAAGGACATTCTATTGCAGGACAATCTGTATATTCTTTTGGTATCAAAATTGAATAACGATTATTTTCCGTAACATCATTAAGGTACTGTAATTTGCATATTGAAGCGGTGCGTTGGAAGTAATTCTAATTTGAAATTTGTAAAAGACCTTACAAATATTAAAAATAGTTTTAACTCTAAAATAACTGTTTTGTCGGATATTGCGGCGTGTAGTTCCGTGGAAAGTGACAGACGTTTTAGAAATCCCATATTTTCGACTTGCTTATGTCATTATTGTGTTTATTTGCACAATGTACATGAAATGAACGCAAATAGGGCTAGTAACTCCACATGACTCAGCTCGAGAACCACTAGATGGTTTTGGATGAAATTTGGTATGCAATTGGCGATTGCCTTAAAATAGTGATTATCAGTTTCTTTCAATCAGTAATAATCAACATGGCGAGCAAAGAAACTTGTTATTTGGTATCGACATAAACTCTACTTGCGATAAGGCCATACAATGACGTATGTTTATAGATTTTTGGGAAATACAAAATTTTGGTACAATAATTATTTATATAGTGTAGAACAACAGCATGGAAAGTGCATAAGAAAAGAAAAATAATTTGACATGGCTAGGATTCGATCTTTGGTTTCCAACATTGCGAAACCGTTATCCCACCAAAGAGCTAATGTTCATTCTGACGAATCGGTGTTGTTTAGAGTACTTACAAATAAGTTTCAAGAAATACTACAAACATAGTTAATAGGTTCTATAACTGAATTAGAGAAATTTTCTTTCTGTGCATAATGAACAAATTTACCGAGACTGATTTTATGCAAATATTAGTAAATTTTCTTGCCTTCATTTCTCAGTCATCTGCGTCTGCCCAACATGCGGGAATGTGTTCTGTCGTCTTTCTTCCTGTGAGCGCACAACAGGAGATCAAGAAAGTTATTAACACGGGCTGGACCACCTTGAAAAACCGACCCACCTTTAGCGCCAGCGAATGTCGTGTTTCTGAAATATTCTTACCTCTATCAAGACATCGTGATTTTCTCTCGACGACATGATGAGCTGCAATTCTTCTTCTATTTCCACTTTAACCTACGTAAAGGAGCAAACCATAAGCGAAACATTAAAATATCTAAATTGATATATAGACTAGAAACATAACTTGAGAGCGTACAACGGACTAAAAACGCAATTTTGCTGTTGGTTTTTACACAGATTGCCTCTGACACCATATTTTATAGATTAATTGGTTCCACTATGCCCACCAAGATCGCCTAACCCCAGGAGGTGTGCAACGTAATCAAAATTTAATGCAGTTACGTCAATGATTAGGGTGAGATCCAAGTACCACACATACAACGACGATATTGCCGTCATATTGGGCAAATAGAACGGTAATTTG